AAACGGGGTCGAGTCCACTCCAAATGTTTATTTGACAGCTATAGTGCACGGTTACTCTTTATAGTTTATGGTTGACGGATTCCGGCAATAGTATAAAAAGCGCAACGATGACGTGAAAATACTTGGATACAATCCACTTCATTTTTATTTCTTCAGTGTCATTTTTCAGAGGGAAGCAGCGAGCGCACCTCGAGCTTGAAGCGCAGCGCAAGTTGGGCATCCGGCCCTGAGGGATCAAACTTCTGGGACGGGAACTTTTTTTTTTGGCGATTGCAAAGGGGATACTCATCTTAAAGGATAGAATGAGGTTGGAGACGCAAGCGCTCTCGACGAACATTCTCAATGAGGGGCTCAGAAACATGGCGTCGAAGATGATGAACTAGATGACTTGTTTCTTGGACAAACCTTTGACTCCAATACGTTCGCGTTGTTGGGGTGGCCAGGCCTTGTTGTGTTTAAAAATATGCCGCAATGAATCTAGTGTTCGGGTCAGAGATAGAGATTCTTGAAGATCATCAATCACGACTGAAATTTCAGTGCCGTTTTGTTCAGTCCGCTCACGTGCTCACACCCCATCCTGGCGTCAGACGAGGTGACGTCTGAAGACAAAAAGCTTTTCGCCGTCTGCGCGTGATAAAATGCGGCGGTGTCACACTCGCCGAGGCTGACGTCCGGCATCTGTCCCCGAAGGTGACGTCGGCGTGATCATGAGCCACGACAGGCGAGCGAAAAGCTATTTGGATGAGCGACGGCGCTATTGTTGCCCTCCCTCCATCTCTCGCCGTGCCCCTCTCTTCTCCTCCCACCAGTGAGAACCTGGAGGCATATTCATGAGGGAAGCATAATTAGCCAGTCAGGATTTGGATGGCTTCCAGATAGATGACTTATTATTGCCATTATTGATTTTTGCCTGCTATGAGCCCCGCTATCTGGGATTAATGCTGTTAGAATTTAGAAGCCCGACACCATCTTAGCACTTAGTCCCATGATGAATGGTGTTAGGCAAAGTCGTTTGCACTGACGCTCGCTTACTTCCCTTCATTTTATGTACTTTGCCTCCCTTATTAAGGCTCTTACCACCGGCTTAATCGCCTATTTAGAATTCTCCTCCTTGTGACCTAGTTGTGTTTTATTTGGCGAATGTAATTAAGTTACCTGTAAATATCTTCTTTTGCCGGGGCGACCATCCATCTCTGTTATGCGCCAGCTCCATTTTGCTTTTAATTAATTTAATGGTGTCTGTGTCTGGAAACTATTAACCTCAATGAAACCGAGAAGAGAAATCGGTTTTCGCTTGTGCCAAAAACGATGCGTCCAGGGTTGAGTCAACCAGCGGGGAGGCGATGGAGGCTTTCATCGCGTAAACAAACATTTTGCTTTGAGGGGAGCGCCCCCTCCCTGCGTCCTCTGACGGTTTAGACCTGTGATTTCCGTGCGAAAAATGTTCATTAACTTTTGTGAAAACGGAGCCAGAAGTCAATTTTTTTTCAGTACGTTGAAATGAGATAATGGTTTGAGAATATTATACTTTTTGTAATGTTTTTGATTGATTCCCCCCCACCCCATTAAAAATATGTGTCTTGGCTCAAAACAAGATGGAAGCTATTGGTTGGGCAGAACCGCCAAGGGCTAGCAAAAATATTCACCTCAACAAAAGTAATGACCGGTGATTTGGAATACGATGAGTTGAGGCTAGCAGGTTCATTCAATTCTCCGACTTGTACGAGCTCTCTCGGAGGATTCTCCAATGAAGCAAGATGACACTTAGCTTAGTCTTGGTTAGCATTCATCAACTATTAATTAGAATACGTTTGGTCAGGAATTTGATGAGTGTAGGGTTGTCCGGTAAACCAAGAAAGTGCTTGCTAAATAGCTAGCTTAGTCGCAGTTAGCATTTGCTGATTCATTATTAACCGAGGACGGAAGGTAATTGTGGCTTCTTTGTGCACCACCATAAAACTCCGTCGCTGAGCCCTCACACGTTCGTTTCTCCAGCTCTTTTTCGACGCAATATATTCCATACACGGGAGAAAGCGTTGAGAATCAATGTCGGTTGTACGGGAACAAAATTGTCAGGGGGGTCAACACGCACACAGTTTACAGCCGGTAAACAAATCGTGTTCGGCTAAGAGGTGCTCCGTAATGAAACATGGCGTCTTTGTTTGCACTTTGAAAGCTGTGCGGGAGCGGGATAAATAAGTGTTGTGGAATAGGTTTTTTCGGAGTTGATATTGGCAGTAATGGCCATGGCATGTGTTTACAGTCCAAGAACGAGGCTGAATGCTTGGGTGAAGTTCTACCTATTAAAGTGGAGGTGGAGGGGGGTTCGGGGTGGAAATGCTTACTGTGATTTCCCTCAGGCTTTTATGCTCAGCGCACGGAATGAAAATGCGGCGTTAAAAAAAAAAAAAAAAGTCATACACAAATGCCGAATATTGGCGCAATGTGAGCAAAAACTCGACAAGCAAGCAACACTTTAGCCCGATAAAAGATCCCTACATTAGCGCCTGACCTTGCATGGAACATGATGGATGCGCCACTGCAGTGCAGCACGACAAGGGGATTGATCGTGTCCAACACGCTCCTTTATGCGCCGCACTGTAGCGCTCACGTTTCAGTGCAGAGGTGAAACATTATACAAGGGAGCTCATCATGGCGCTCAAGCTCCATTTATAAGGGAGACACAGTGTGCTTAGTACATACGGTGGCGGCTGTCCGAAGACAACTACATCGTTTTTTTAATACAATGCTTTCCGTCATGCATTGCTGAGCAGGGATGGGTAGAAAATGACCTGTTCCATTTTATTTTATTTTATTTTTTTTTTTTAAATCCGGCCCAGTTAACATTTACATAATCTCGGAATCGTCAATATTATCGACTAGTGCCATTACGATTTGATTCCATATGGTACGGCTCAGTTCGAGAAGGTGTAACGCGTACTTACCCGTACTGAGAATGCACACATTTCCTTCTGAGATGTTAGCCCTTGAATAAAAGACAATTTGATATGCATCTCGTATATTTTGAAACAGAACAATTCGATTCGACTCCATCTGATGCTCTCACATTTTATTTTAACCCTTTGAGGGACAGCGGTTACTACAGTGGGCAGCTTTTCATGTTATCAGGTTACAGGGGGCATGAAAGGGTTAAAAAAAAAATTCGGTTCAAACCATTTTTTTTTGTTACGCTCCTGGTGTCCTTACGTAAATATTACGTTACGTGTCCTTTCAAGACTGAAGATATTAGTTTTTTACAATAATTATGGTTTAAACTACGAATATCGGCAATTATGAACATTTTAAAGAGGTGGAAATCATAAACTAAAACTTTTTTTTTTCTTGGCACTTGCAACAAACAGTGCGTGACATACTCAATGTTTTTTTTCGGCAGTGACGCGCATCACTTTCATGTCTGTCCAAGTGCCGACACAAAATAAACAAATAAATAAATAAAGCGGCGGCACGATACATCCTGATTTGAGATCTCTGATGCCTAATTGCACATGAGCAATGGATGATGCCCATGCGTGGAAGGAGCAGATGTGTACAGTGGCCAGAAGCGTGCTTCGCTTTGCCGAGGGCCACTGGTGTCGTGGGCGGAGGGAGGGGAGTGGGGGGTGTTGATGATGTTTTCTGGCAACCGGTGCTTGCTGCAGGTGTGGGGGGGGTCCGGAGAAATGGCCAATAAGCGTTCCCCGGCGTCCTCATCACACCTCAAGCTACAGGCAATTATTAATCATTTAGCAGCTCTGCGATAGCGCACAACGCCTGTCATTGTCGCTGGACTAGCAAACCTTTTTTTGCTTTGGCCTCCAAAGGTCATTTTTGCCTGATTTTCATGATTTTATTTGTCTTCACATTTGGCGACGTTAGGTCGCCATCTCACAGTTACGCACACTGATCAATTTCCACCCAGTCGGGCGCCATGTGAGCCAGCACTGCGTTTTTTTGTTTTTGTGTTTTTTTTTGGTCTGAGCAATTTATAGCTTTGGAACAAACACTGGGACAATTACATGCTGGGCATGTAATGGAGCAGTTACACGGCCTTTGTAGGCCATATCTATTACTCATGACAATCACAGCCTAAATCAGCCATTCGTGTCGTTTGAAAGCCATTTCTTTCCATCTTGCACATTGTTGATTGGCATTGCACTCTTACAATATGCGCTCCGTGCTGCTTTTACCTCGCTGGCAGCTACGACAACATATTGTGTGACACTCGCATCAGCTATTGCGCCGGGGGTCTGAATCGTGTGATGCGCAGGTCTATCATACAGTATCAGAACTTGTCAATGTCCTCGCAACTGAGATGACGTCGGCCATTGATTTCAATGTCTTGTGTGCTAGATGTGAACTTAAATGGATATGAACTGTAGAGGGAGCCAGTGAAGGGATGCCAGAGTAGGAGTGACGTGCTCCCTCTTACGAGTACTAGTCAAGAGGCAAGCAGCAGCATTTTGGACCAACTGGAGACGCTTAATGGAGGATTGGCTGACTCCGAAGTAAAAGTGCATTGCAGTAATCCAGCCGGGATGTGACGAAGGTATGAATGACTGTTTCAAAGTGCTCAATACAACGTGTTCGAATGAAAAGAAATGGCGTTAGCAAACAAAACCAGTTCACTCCAGCATCGCAGTCCGTAGAAAGCGTACATGCATACGAAGTGGACAACTAGGGTTAGCCTTAATTTTCGAATGTTAACATCTTCAGTTCTGTACACAACTGTTAACCCGACGCCTTTGGACACTGTTGTGCAAAGGTGTTTTTTGTTTTTTGTTGTTTTTTTTTTTTTTTTGCAGCGTTGGAGGTGTTTTCGAGCATGGCCACCTGCTTGGATCCTCGCTCACTAAAAAGAACCTCGTGGCTTTTGTATTCCCTTTGAAGCCGCATCCAAGGAGCCGCGAAATAACTGAAGGAATAAACAAGCCGCACACACACACACACACACACACACACACACACACACACACACACACACACACACACACACACACACACACACACACCGAGTGGGTGAGCCAAGTGATGCAACAACAAAGCAATCCAACACATGCGCGGCTACTGCTCATTTGTGTGTGTGAGAGACATTATATGTGCTAATTAACGAGTGAGGTGGTGACAATGGGGTCTCATTTGTTTTTCTACCTCTCAGGGTTCAAGATGAGATGGTGACATTTTACTCCCCAAGCCGCACAGTTTCCCGTAAGTCATTGGCTATTTAATTATTAAAGGATGGGGGGGAGACACCTGACGGAGCAACTCCAGCTGAGCTTGTTGTTTTCTATTTTCACCCTTTTTTTTGTGTGTAATGGAAGTAAAAGAAACATGACGTGCTTATTTGTGACTTGACTTTGAATGTGAGGTAAACAAATATATAAACAGTGGTACCTCTACTTGCAAACGTCTCTTCATACGAAATTGTCAAGTGACGAAACGCCTCAACAGGAAAATGTTGCCTCTTGTTCCGAAAGAAATTTCACGATATGAAAGGTAAAAAATGCAGTACGGGCTGCGACTCGCAGCTCCGAGTTTTCTGCACGCAACGTACTTCTCGCTGCTCTTCCATTGGCTATTTTTGAGCATCATCCTGGCATCCCATTGGCTAAGAGGGACCGCTTCTGAATGTGACTGTGTGTGTCGATAGATCGATATGTGTCCTTGGATCAGTTCTTGACAAAAGGCCAGGCAAAAACCACTTCTGAAAGAGAACATGGACTCATGAGGGCAAAAAAACGAGGACGCAGTTAAAGGTGAAATGACCATCATTTTTATTCTTGATGGAGTCTTGCACCAATGGACCTGTACTTTTTTGGCAGTCTTGAACCAAATCATGAAGCCTCTTGGATTTAAAATCCATCCCAAAATGAGCTGCAGTCAAGAGATGATTCTGACCGATGAATTCTGTTGCAGCTTCCTCGGACAGTGACAGCGGGTGGAGTCTCCGGCGACACACCTGCTGGCGACGATCATCATCCGTGAGGTATTTCGATTTCTTGAGATAAAAAAAAACAAACCGTCGTGTATCAGGCCTTGGAATGAACGGCTACGACAGGCTGAAATTTGATTAAGAACATCTGAATCAATATTTGAATGCGATTATTAGCAGGTCGCGAAAACGTCTCGGCAACCGCCGCGCTTGTATTGACAATCGATATTCCGCCGCTTGTCGTTCTTAAAATACACAACCCGACTCTCATTACTGTATATGAAGATATGGTTTTGGCTTCAAAGCGCCGGCGGTTCAAAGGAACTCGGTGACATCCTGGTGTGGTATTCAAAGAAAATAGATTCCAAATAGAAAGCAACTGGTTCACACAGCCCCCGCTCTCTGTATGTTTTCAATTTCAGAGAGGAGGGTTGGTGGAAGGAGGAGGGGGCGGGGGGCGCATCCAAGTGAATGCTGGTGTCTTCATTCCCCCATAATTCAATCAAATCCGTCTGAGCGCGGCTCTGGTTTGAGTCTATTCCGGCTCCAAATGAAACATTACTCCCAAGAGTTCCAGATGGTTCCTTGGTGGTCATTAGTTATCGTCATCAATCAGGAAAAGGAAGAGAATTTCACTCGAGGGTAAAACCTCTCTCTGCATGTTCCACGTGCAAAAAGCAATAAATATCCCGACCCGGTGCGAGGATTCACGTTTGCCTGAAAACGCCGAGGTGAATCCGATGTGGGGAATGCCGGAGAGAAATGAATATTTCATCGAGCGGGCGCGTTTAGAGCGTCTTGAACTGCAAATATAGCACCAAAGAAAGCTAATGTTGTCAAGTCTTTATTTATTTATTCATTTATTTATTTTTATTTCATTAGCGCTGCACTCTGTGGACATCCTTGTTTACTCACCTGCGGATTTCAGGAGTGGGGAATTAATTTTCTCGGTTTGCTGTCCATAAAAAAAATAATAATAATAATAATAAAAATAAAATAGTGTCGATTATACAGTAGTTTACTGCCGGTGATCTCCGAAAGGAGGCATCGACAGTCAATCAGAGGGAGTGTATCAAAGAGCGCCTTTTGCTTTGCGCTTCAAGGCAAATACGTCGGACGACCCGAAGCGACGAGAAGGCGTCGGAGAGAATCTTTAAATGCATTCACGCGGCCTCACTTCCACTACTGGGAAGTCATCTTTTGCCGCTGTCAATCAGCGTCGATCAGGTGCAGTTAGATCAAGGGCGCGCCACTGCAGGGCAGATCTTGTACACAGAATGCCATCACTGTTGGAGATTGCCATGTCAACGCCCACGCCCGCAAAATCGACAATCCAAACGATGTCAAAGATCTCGAATCAGGACAAAGCGCAGGATGCTCGGTCATGGTCTTTTTATTTGTCAAGGCTTTCCGTGTATTTTACCGTTCTTGAACATTTTCTTCTCTCTGCAATTTCAGACGTGCTTGGTTCTAAAAGGAATAGCTGACACCGTTCGGGAACATCAGATCCCACAAACGTAGACACAAACAAAAAGGCTGTACAAAAAAATCTTTTTTTAAAAGAAAAGTGCTCCGACAAAAGTATAAAGCGAAATCGCTGGTCAAAAGAAGCAGGAAAGATACTTTAACAAAAAGCGCTTGCAAAGGGAAGGAAAAAGACACTCCACGATATAAACCAAATGACTCATGTCCAATGCCAGGAAAACAAAAACGTGAGCAACATCAAAGACAAAAAAAAAACAAAAAAAACAAATACTTCCAAAGCGAGAGGCCAGAGCGCAAAAACGACAAATGACGCGCTCGCGAGTTCTCAAACAACACGTGAGCAAGAGCGGCAACAAGGTCAATAATCCGACGCAGACTTGGCGCCCGGGAAGTCCTTCAATACATGGCTTAACTTGATCACATTGGCAGCAGGTGTGCACGCTGGAGGAAAAGCCCTCCACTGCCACCTGCTGGTAAGACATCAACGTTTGGTTGCTTTCCATCATGCATGGGTGATTTTTTTAAAATTTATTTAATTAAATTTGAAGCAACCACACAAGTTGTTTTACAAGAACATTCTATAGATGCTGGCTTCTGTTTTGCGTCGCTCATGACTGCTACTAGTAGCAGAAGCCCCGGCGGGATCAAAAGTTGCTCTCGAGTGAATGACAGGCAGCTGCAGCCGCTGTCGTATTGCGTGCTGGTCAATATGAAGCAGAAAACAGCAGCCGGGGATCGATGAAGCGCTACCCGGCGACGGCTGCCTCGATAAAGCGCTCCCGGGCGACGGCTGCATCCGGAGGGAAAAAAAAAAAAAAGCTGGAAATGACAAAAGGTTGCCCGTTTCTGGTACAACAGTACGAGGATCTCGGAACTTTATCGGTCATAGTTTTTGTATCAAGCGTTGGCATAATCAACCGCTTTCTTTCTGTCGAACCCGATGTCATAAAATGAGCAACAACCCCCTCACATGAAAATTGGTTTCCAAAGGTGACGACGACACGCTGTGCACGAACGAGAAGAGGCGACTCGTCCTTAATTCGATTTGCACAATGTTCATTTCAGGGCGCCGCGAACAAACATGGCCGCTGTTGCTTGGCCGGCGTTCAATGTTAATGGCGTGATTAGCGCTTCCCTCGCCGTGGCCATTTATTGGGGCCCATTAGGCGTGCGCCGCTATGCCCTGCTGACTCAGACGCACTTAGGAACAAACAGTATTATTAAAATGGCTATCAGCGCCAAAATCTATCACGGGGAATGGCCTGTGAGGTCATCGCAGAGTGTGTACCCCGAGTGGATTGCCTGAAAGGGGAGGCGATAAATCCACATTCACGGCTTATTAGCGAGAACGGCCAAATCTCGTATTCCTCTCACGCAAACCGTTGCATATCCTGCGGTTGGACTTTCTGTCATGTCCTTTCGAGCTGGTAAAATACAATTTCAGATTTCTCTCTAATTTTTTTTTTTTCCCCCCCGCTTGGCTTTGGCAGTGAAATTCTTCAAAACACGTTTTGCATTTTGTTTCCCTGTCTGGGATTCGATTTATTTCCAGTGATAACAAACGGCATTGAAAATTGTATTGTATTCTCTTTAGCGTAGCTCCATCTAGTGGATGCATAATGTAACCGCAGCCACTATTGTATCGTCTATTCTATGCGCCTTATAATACGGTGCGCCCTATATATGAAAACAGTTTTAAAATAGGCCATTCGTTACAGGTGCGCCTGATACTCTGAAGCGCTTTATAGTGCGGAAAATCCGGAAATTGACGGGATGTGTACATTTGTGCAATCAAGTGGGTATGCAACTCAGGCAGAATGTGTGTGTGCCATTCTTTCAAAGAAAACATGAGGGCAAAATGCATTTATTTTCATTTCATGGGATTAAAATTTAACCGCGAGTCATTTCCGAGGAGCACAATCTTTCAGCAAAGTATAGCGACAAAGAAAATAATGCAAAGGGCCACGTTCAGTCATCAGTCCCTTTCGCAGAAATTTTTTATCGTTTTAGTTTTTTTTTTAACTTGCACAGCTGACAAAAGATGACGTAAAATAATTTTCTCTGTGACCTGCCGCATGAAGTGCAGATGCAAATTAGCTACAATCTTCATCTCTGCTCTTCAGCGGAACATTTTCCGCTCAGGGTCCCTGATGAAGCAACGAATAAAATAAATACAATCAAAACATCACATGACGGTCTCCGATCAATAGACGGCTAACAGATTCTGCCGTGCGCCCTTTGCGTTTTCGGCGGCCTAAAACGATTAGCAAAGACTTGCGTCATCTGGGACAATCAGATGGTACTCCTAAAAGGCATAATGGCGTTTGATTGGACATCGGCACGGCCGGCTGGCGGCGAGCCGATTCCGTAATTGAACAAATGAGCCGTACGGCGTCCGCAAACCGTCTTTTCTCGATCGGCAACCGCAATGGCGTCGAGCGGCGCGCCGGGGGTTGCGTTGGGTCTCTGACTATGATGAATTGCCCGCGGCTTATCAACAAGGAGCTGGCGCGCGGCGGCGGGAGCAGCGCTTGATGGCTTGTCAGTCATTCCGTCAATGCTTTTCAATGCTCCTCCTGTCCCACGCCGGCGACTAATCCCGCCGCGCTTCCGATGCGCTCTAATTCCGCGACGGAATATTTGGCTGGAGATTTCCCCCCCCCCACCCCGTCCTGACAAACAGTCAGCAGCAATCTGAGCCTGACGGCCGCGTGTCGCATTTGAGTGGCCTTATTTATTTCATGACCTTTTCCATGTAATTATGGATGCGCTCTTTTTAAAGCCCCTCCCTTCCTCCCTCGTCATTATTAAAAAAAAAAAAAAAAAAAAAAAAAGGTCGCTTTGTTGAATGCCGACATGGCCCAAACTTTTCCGACCTGATGATCAGCAGCTGTCATGACAAGCTCGATCGCAAATTAAAAAAAAACATTTTTAAGTTGTTTTAGGATAGTTGCTGTTGCCACCGAGCAGTGAGAATCGCTGCCTATGAGCATTGTTGAATGCCCCATGCTAATGTCTGTTAGCTCATCGATGGCGTTTCTCATCAAATGATAGCATGAAGCTATCAGTGAATTGAAATTTGATTTGAAAGAAAAAAAAAAGAAAACACAAAGTGAATGCACTTTTCAGTGCCGCTTTAGATTTGTTGTCGGGCGCGTGTCCTTTCCAGATGGGGTGCATCTTGGCAAATTCCCCCTTCACCTGCTGCATTGTTTCCCCCCCCCCCCCCCCCGCGCCTGTCAATCATCCCACACACGCTGAGACACGCCGCTGCTGACGGCTGACATGCATGTGACAGCTGGATCGCTCACTTCATACGCACTGCTTTTTGTTGTTGTTTCACTAGGCGGAGTCGGGGGGGGGGCAGTGGGGGGGTTCCCCCCTTTTGTAAGCAAACTGTTACCTGCTAAGCAGTTTGCGGAAAAATGAGCCGGCTTGAAACCTTACTTTGAAACCCTAACCCCGGACTTTAAACAAGTAGAACCCCCGACCCCCACCACCCTACCGTGGCCAAAGCCTCAGCCTGACTGGAAATGCTACTTTGAAATGATCCATTGACTTCAATCAGT